TCCGGGGTTCCAGTAATGAACAAGTCATCAGCGTGAAGACAGCACATGCCAATTGGTTTTCTTCCCTTGGCATTACTGCCATTCCACCGGGTCCATGAAGTGTTCCAAAAGTTCTTCAACAATCTCAGGTGTCAACTGTGGTGTCGTGGCAAGGTATGTACGCTCTGAAGGTAAGAAGACTGAAACAAGTACTTCAGCTTCTTCTTCTAAACTGACATCAACATTGACAAAATGAGAGTGGTCTGATGTGCAAGGTTCAGTGTCCACATCTTCTTCCTGAAGCTGAGCAATGTCTTCCTCAGTAGGGGTATCGTCTGTTTCATATGGTTCTGTTTCATCATGATCATTTTGTGATGATACCAATTCTGGTGTTCCTTGTGAAGACTGCTGTTGCGCTGGCTGTGCAAAATCACCTGGCATAAACGATGTCGGTGTTGTGGTCGGCAATGGAATTGTATTATCATTTGAACTTGAGGCAGTAGGGTCATGTGAAGGTCCTTCATCTTCTTCATCATGAGGTTTCTGAGTAGGAACAGAAATAGGTTTCACATGACCTGGTAATTGAACCTTTGGTCTTTTGATAATCACCTTTGCCTTTGCCTTTGGTAAAGCATCAGTAGAATCAATTGAGATCTGTCTCTGTTTCCTTTGAACTCTGATAGGCTCCGACGTCGGATCAGGTCCTGGTGGAGAATCGTCATCTTGTCCAGGATCAGCAATCTCTTCAATTGGAATGTCAGGATTGGAAAACGGAGTTGATGGTGAACTTGGTTGATGTGTTCCCCCCGAGTCCTGAATTACTGGCATATCCAAGTCATCATCAGGTGGTGGTCCATGATCATCTGGAATGATGTACTCTTGATCATCATCATCATCATCTGGATCTGGTCCAGTGTTAGAATCAGGTTGATTATCATCATCCAAAGGATCTTCTGGTTCATCACCACTCAACATTTCATCATCATTTGGTGGAACATCACCATGCTGATCTGGATGGAATGGTTCGTCATCATTTGGTGGTGTGCTTCCTTGAGTAGGAGGATCTTCAACTCTCCTTTTGATAGCACCAGTCATTTCACGCGAAAAGACGATCATACTCCATTCATGGATATGGAACTGTTCATGGTGTGGATACAACTGTGACACAAACATGAAGTAAACATGATCATAGTAACCAGGTTTCCAAATGAGTAAGACGGCATCTTCAGGATGTTGAAACAAAGGATTCACTCGACCAAAAGTTCCCCTGAACACACTGCGATCTTCAAAGTACATTTGAGGCAATGTCTTCTTCCTGGCATCTTGAAGTCCAGGAATCAATTCAATGATTCTGGGGTCAGTTGATTCTCTGACACTAGCCTCTGTACTCCTTGGCAGCTGATCAATCTTTCTCAATGTTTGAATGAGTAACTGAGTGGGATGTGCTTCAAGGGCACTGGAATAGAGGTCTCAACATGATGCAAGTCTTGCAACAAACACGAACACCCAGCACCACGATCCAAAAACATAGCTGTGCCACACAATGCTCCATCATCAAAATGATCCAACAGATCTTCAAACAGAACGTACTGTCTCATGTCCCTCAAAGGTACAAGTTGCGTGAACTGTGCAATGAATGAACACAAAGGTGATGGTAAGACCTTCCATTGTGGATCATTCCAAAGCTTCCCTTCTCTCTTGAAGGCATGCTGTGGTTCCAACATATCAAAGTCTTCGTCATGATTGTATTACACACGCAAGTTTTTGATTGAAGGATCACAGTGACAGTGGTCATATCAAGATGGAAACAACCAATGTGATAAAGGATTCTGTCCTTTTCAAATTTCTTCCAAGTCAAGAACTGAGCAAATCCTGAATCAGGTGGAGTGATCACCAAGAAACCTTTTCCCCGGTCAACCTGCCACTTCATCACATCGAGGCAGAATTTGAAAACCGAGTATTTCCAGGAATTTGGTGAAGGATTTGTGATCAACACGTATTCAGGATCAAGCTTCTCAAGCTGTTTCCAAACTTGATATTGTTTGGTCTTACTGTTGAAACTCCAACCATGCTTGTGGTCAATAGGTTCACCAACCTTCATGTTCAATCGTGACATGTGCCAACTAAGACCAGTGTTGCTACTAAAGAGTTCCACAACATCACACTTCCCAGTTTGACAGAACCAATGAGCTTGTTCACCAAGGTAAGCTTCAGCATACTCAGCTATGTCTGGTTCATAGTCATCTTCATCTTCAACTGCAAGTGGGACAGGCTCTGGCTTGTCAAGTCCAGGAACAGCAACATCATGTCATTCATCATGATCACGTCTGATCTTCGATTGGTTGGCACGCATGACTCAATCATCAACATGAACATTGACCATAGCACCTTCTTGAGAGATGACAGTACCTCTGATCCACCTTTCCTTCTTACATGCCTTTGAAGCAATAGCATTAGCATTGACAGGAGCACTCCAAACGAAAACCTTGTCCCCTCATCCAAGATCCAGGATACATACAGTTGGTGGTGCAGAATTCTCTGTGTGAAAAGCAAGTCCTTTCTCACATGCCAGATCAGTCTGTACAGTATGAAATGAAAAAGCACTCTGCTGCTCATCTGGTTCCTTTGTCTCTACAAAGCCTTCAGGATGAGATGGTACCTCTGTCTCTGCAGAGCATCCATGTGAAAACAATGATGTGCCTTTTGCCAGTGGCTTCCATGAAGCCTCACTTTCTTGTAGACCAACTTGCCTGGGCACAGGAGCTGGACGTCGTTGTACACCTTGTCGAAGTGCATCAAGATCTCCAACTAAAACAGGGAACTTCTTGAGCTCTCTCCTGTTGTGCTGTGCTGTTGCATCACGTTGGTTCTGTCCTCCACGACGAGTACGTCGATGTTCTTCTCGTTCAGCATAAGTGGCTGTCAAAACATCCGCACGTGCTGGTTCAGTCTCTGCAAATGCAAAGAAACCATGACCAGAGCTTGATGCTGCAGAAGAATAATGAGCTTGTTGCTGTTGTTGATTCTGTATAGCAGGAGTTGATGTGGTCTGAGGTTGAACATAGTTGGACTTACCTTTGCCATCTCCTGGTTTTCTCCTTTGCCATCATCATCCTTGCCTTTCTTGCCTTTCTTTCCTTTTCCTTTTCCTTTCTTCTGGAAGTATCCATACTCATCAAGATAGTACAGATCATCAGAGGCCCAATAGCCTTCATCCCAGTTGTGATCATCCGCCCAATAGCCTTCATAGGATTCATTCCAATCATCTCCTTCTTGCCATTATTCTTCATAACCTTCTTCACTCACCATGTGAGAGCGGCCTTTTCTTCTTCCTTTTCCTCGGCTTTTTCGTTTTCTTGATCCGAAGAACCTTCGTCCTCCTCTGCCTTTTCCTTTTCCTTTTCTCTTTCCTTTACCTTTTCCTCGTCTGGTCTGTCTGCCTTGGAACCTTCTCTGATACCATGTGTAGTCAGCGTCATCATACACCCAGAAAACATCTTCTAGAGCATCCAGGAATCCTTCTGCGCCGTCTTCTTCATCTTCGGCCCAATAGCCGTCGGTTCCTTCTAGTTCACCTTCATCCAGTACGAGGAAAGATCTTCTCTGTGCCATGCCAGAGGGTTGCATCATTGGATTGTCAACTGCAGTTTTTGTAGCGCAAAGCATTTCCAAAAACAGGTCACGTAGTTCTTGTATATTGTACTGATCGAGTGTTCGCCCACGATGTGTCATGATACTTGTGGGTGTGTTTCTCTGATCTTGAGTCAGGTCAGCTAGACTTACAAAAGTCAATGCTAGCAAATTGTCACCCAATGGGAATGCCATCCTTTGCGCTTGTCTTCTGTTTTCATTGTAGGTTCTAAAAGACATTAACGTCATTTCTTCTGACCAGGGAATGACCACATGGGGATCTGCGCCTCGTGTCGCTGCTGCCACTTGTGCTCGTTCAACTTGATCTGCTTCATGATCTTGTCTTGGTCGTTGGATAAACAGAATTGCTTCTGGGCTAGTAATCAACGCTTCTGGTAGTAAATCCATCCAAGACTCAATAAGTCTGTTTCCAGTCAGTTGAAATCTAGTCATCCACTTTTGAAGATCCATAGTTCCTCTGTTGAACTTCATGAACTGCATGAAACGGTATAAGAACATGTCTGGGCACCTTTGATGAAATGGGGTCGTAGAAACTTTTTGAAATAGTTCACTCCGTCATTGGGATCTCTGAGCCTTTCTCTATCCAATAACCTCTTGTATTGCTGAGCCTCTCCTTCCAGACGATTGCGCAAAGCTGGGCCACGTTTTTCAGGTTCTAACTCCGTGATGTCACACCAGTCATCGATTGCATCTTCAAAGGCAAAGAAACTGGTTCTCCCATCATATGCTGGAGCTACCTTCGTGGTCATCTGCTGCGTCATGTGAATCTATGTCTGCTGGGGGGCTCTTCTCATTGCGTAAGAGTCATATTGGTTCCATCCATCTGCATCGACAATGTCGAAGTCATCATCATCATAGCCATGGCGTGCCATTATTGGGCTCCACCTGGAGCTCACCTTCAATGAAAGATCACAGCTCCGCTACCACTTGAAGAGGGGCACTAGCGTCTATTCAAGATCAGCTAGAGCGTCTTCCCAAGACAGCTTCACACCCTTTTTACTCACGGCGTATTGCCTGTCGGTGTGGTGTCCACAGGGTTACTCTGTATATACCTCTTGAGCCTTGAAGGGCGCATATAATGTGCTCAATACTCATGCATGTACCCGCATAAGTATTAGGTCGAAACAAAAACAGGGGGACAGTACCACACCCTGACCACACCCCCACCACATCACAGGGTGGGGAGGGGGACAGTGCCACACCCCCACCACACCACAGGGGGGGAGGGGGAAGATCTCATATGATGGCAATATATGGGAGCCATCCCATGGGGGGGGAGGGGGGTGGCAGGGCCTATATATATATATATATATCATTATATATCTACAATTCCACTATAGCACGGTTCTCTGCAGCTGCAATGAAGCGGCCCAGGCTTGTCATGAAGACCCAATTGATTTCCAACGTCACAAGGCCGACCTGGCGCATATCCGAAACACCGCGTGGACAGTCCGTTACGTCAAGACATGTCAAAAATTGTCCAAAAACATCAAGAAATCATGCTAAGAGCATGGGGGAGCGCATGGCTCCACAAGATCAATCCTCTCCCTTCCTCTGGCAAATCATAACTTGCTTGCCACTGCGACACTCTTCTCCTCTTCCTGTCTTTACCCTTTTACCTGTAAGAAACCAAACCCCTGGCCCCGTTTGCCACACTCATTGCCCTTTGTTCAAAGCATTGATTTGTATCTTTGAATTGCTCCAGAGGTGCATGCTATGGTAAAAAACAGCTATCCCAGCCTGCAAAGGTGTTACTAAGGCTATCCATAGCAGCGCGGCTGACGTGACGAACTGCCAGATCGTGGCAGCCAGGTTTCTGTCAGGGTTGATGATGTACCTGGGATAGAAAGCACGCAAGCACAGGCCACAAATCGCTTTGCTAGCTTCCTTGAAATTCTATGCAACTGCCTAGTTAAACTACAGCTAGTTACTTTTCATTGTCCGGACGGACACTCCTCACAACATACCCGAGGACACTGCATGGGGTCTCTACATTTCTTAGCATGTGCATACATGATCATGCATGATACGCAGGCTAAGGCTCTTTGGTCTTGGCGCTTGTCCTCTGCATTGCAATCATTGTATGCTACACCCTGCAGCTTGTCAACCAAGGTGCCAGGGTTTTTGCATCACAAGAACTTTCGTTTTGTCTGCACGAAGAATGGCAAACTTTGTATTGTCCTGGATTGCGCGTGCGGTGTGGGCATTGAAGACTTTGAGTTTTTAATCCAAGCCCGCCGTTGTTGGACATCTTCGGTCCAGCATAGGTAGCATGGGGCATGTGTGAATCTGCTCCGGTCTTCAGAAACATGGGGCAAACCAAAACAGGCAAACATGAAGACGACTTCCATATGATCAAAGCAATCGTTCGCTTTCAGAACAATGGTTTAGGCATGGTGGTGACCTAATTCAATGAACAACATTTGTAAGAAATAGTGCCATGTAGTTATCCATGTTACATGATATTACATTGATGACTGTCCCCTCTTGGCCTTTGCTTCCGTCCTCCGTCAAGAGGGAGCTCGTAACACCAGAAATCGTTGGGGAATGAAAAGCGGAACTAGATCCGCGGACTGGGACGGCCTGGCGCGAAGGAAAACACACACACGACAAACGATAAGAATCTAGACGAGGGTCGAGGCGCATAGATCATCATAGGTCCTAGAAAGACCTATAAAATATGGATAAATGATGTCTTGTTGCCTAAGGGCAACGAGAAAGCGTGCGTGAAAAGATTGAAAAAATGAAAAAATACACGAAAACCATAAGAAAACCAACAACATATTTGAAGGAAAAACGTATTGCAGTCATGATGACAAAATCAGGGGACTGGTGCGGTGCAATTAGCAAGGAAAGCCTTCTTCACAAATCTTGATCAAATCTTCACGGTGCTTCAGCACTGAAAGTGACGCGTCCAGTCCCGCCCACTAGAAACATAATGTTCCTCTATTTGAAACCGTAAAATGTTTCCCACCTCTTTCGGTTTGAGCTTTGAACGTCCTTTGAAGAGCTTTGATGTATCTTGAAATATAATGAAATATGTGTTTTTCCCCACCTACTAGGTAAGGGCTTCCAGATTTTATCAAGAGTGCTGGCTGCCTCCGCCTCGACCTCCTCGCCTTGGACCCCGCCTCTGGGTCAACTGCGGGCTCCAGATCTCAGTGCGCACTGCCGGACTTCAACCGCGAGCTCTAGATCTCAGCGGGCAGAGCCCAGTGGGCGAGCTCAGTGGGCACTGCCGGAATTGAACTGTGAGCTCCGGAGCTCAGCGGGCACTGCCGGACTTCAAGCGCGAGCTCCAGATCTCAGTGGGCACTGCCGGGCCTCAACTGCGAGAGCCAGATCTCAGTGGGCACTGTTTCTATAGGAAGGCCGAGGAACGAGACGTGTTTAGTCGTCGTCACCACCGACTGCAGGACACGAGTCTTGGCGTTCTAGGGAGGAAGAGGTTATGTGCAGGAACTGGTCAATTGGGCCAACCAAGCTTCCCTTGAGTTTGGTCGTGAGATCGCGCAATCAGCACGTTGGAGCACTCAGATTGCTTGAAACTCTTTGACAAAAGCTCAGCAGTCAAGATCTGTTCGTTTGTTTAGTGCTCAACCCTGCATGTCATGGACATGGTAGGATCTCACTCTTGATTCGAGGGTTTAGCTAAGGTTTGGGCATTGTTTCAGTTGCCATGCAGAGGGGCGTATTTGGAAATGCCATCATTTATACAGGAACGGGAGCTATTGAGACAGCTTGTGAAAGAGTTTGGCGAGCGCCAGAGCTCAGTGGGCACCGCCGGGCTTCAACTGCGAGAGCCAGATCTCAGTGGGCACTGCCGGACCTAAACTGCGAGCGCAAGATGTCACATAGAATGTAAGATAGAATGTCAGAAGAGATGTCAGATAGAAAGCTTGACAGAATGTCAGAATGTATATCAGTTAGGATCACTCGAAGAACGTATTTTTTGGAAATGATACACTGTGGGTGCAACGGCTGACGCCAGTTCTGGCTGTGCCTTGCTCTGGGGCGCAACGCTACGACTGCAAAGTGGAGGAAGACTGGATTCTGGAGAACTTGCAACTCCTTAGCTTTCCAATTTTTCAGCACCAGCGCGCTCCCGCTAACTCGAACAGTAGCCGAAGATAGCCAGCGATTTTGGAAGAAACAATAAAACAATGACCCACGCCATCTGCACCCACAAGGCAGTGGCCCAGAAGGCAAACATGGGGTCAACGATGGCATGACTTGAAAAACCTTGCCCACTAGGAACCCCCATAAGATTTTTGCCCAAAACGCGAGAGGCCTTGGACGAAAGGCTTGGACGGTATCGAAAGGTAGGTTCCATGAGGTGAACACGACTCTTTTTACAGCACACGACAAGGGCATAAATGACGAAGCACATTGAAAAGGACACTCAGAACACGCTGCGATTCTACTTCCAATGGAGTGCTGTTGTGCCTTGTATGCTGAAGTAAGGCGGTTGCAGCCTGCTGCAGCTGGTGCACAACAATTTTCTGGAAAAAAACAACTCCACCAAGTTGCCCTGAAATTCCTGCGACATTTCTTGCTGTGCGAAAATATTATATATTCCATTATCATATGCTGTTGGCTGTGTTGCCGTGACAGGCCAAATGCACACCACAAGGTGCTTTTGTGTGCCTCGACCCTCCGCTGCTGAGGACCTAGTCGTTCCAAGAAGATAGGTCAAACAGCGCACAAAATGATTCACTTTTTTGTACAGATATGTATCTTTCGCGCAAGAGCTCAGCACTGCACCCATATACCAAAAAAACACCCAAAACAATGATATTTCAGGATTTGCAGGCGTTTGCGGGTTTTTGCAGGAGTTTGCAGTTTTTTCCAAAACACCAAAACATGCAGAAACAGCTCAAACAAAGTTTTGAGCTCGAAGACCAACGTAGTACAAAGTAGTAATATGTAGTAATCAAATCAAATCAGTCGATATAGGCCAAGCTCTGAAGACACCGATATTGTCCTAGGATTTGGGGAACACGTAGTCGACAAAGTCGCGGCGTGGAACATTTACAAGTATCCAATGCCAATCTATGGTCACTGATGGTCACTGCATCGTGGTAGGTGCGACGGCAAGATCTTTAAGGGAACCCGGTTTGCAATCTTACCTGGAAGTGCGGGAATTGGCACAAAAAACAAAGCATTGCAACAATTTGCCACCAGCCACGTCAACCACTCAAGCAACCTGAACCTAAAGTATCTAAAGCTTTACAAGCACACAAGGAGGATACGACTAAAACAAACTTACAGTAACTGATGCACCTGAAATTATCAAGGGAAGCTTAGTAGTCTAATCTCCGTCTGTCCAGGGTGCTGTGCAGGGTGCTGTGCGGGGTGCTGTGCGGGGTGCTGTGCGGGGTGCTGTGCGGGGTGCTGTTCGGGGTGTTGTCCAATGTGCTGTCCAGAGTGCTGGCCGAGAATTGCGCCATTCCTGCGCCCAATTTATACGGAAAGAGAGTGTCTGAAGCCTGTTCTATCTGGAGCCTATGCCAGTGTGATATGTTTTCTATTTTTCGAAAATCAGGATTGAACATGCGCCATATTCTATCTATCTATCTATCCATCCGTCTATCTATCTACCAAACTATCTATCTACCTATCTACCTATCTACCTATCTATCTATCTATCTACCTGTCTATCTGTCTACCTGTCTATTTGTCTATCTGTCTATTTGTCTATCTGTCTATCTGTCTGTCTGTCTATCTACCTCTCTATCTATCTATCTGTCTATCTATCTATCTATCCATCCATCTATCTATCTATCTATCTACCAAACTATCTATCTACCTATCTACCTATCTATCTATCTACCTGTCTATTTGTCTATCTGTCTATTTGTCTATCTGTCTATCTGTCTGTCTATCTATCTACCTCTCTGTCTATCTATCTATCTATCTACCTACCAAACTATCTATCTACCTATCTACCTATCTACCTATCTACCTATCTACCTATCTATCTATCTATCTACCTGTCTATCTGTCTACCTGTCTATTTGTCTATCTGTCTATCTGTCTGTCTGTCTGTCTATCTGTATACCCCTCTATCTATCTATCGATCTATCTATCTATCTATCTGTCTATCTATCTATCCATCCATCTATCTATCCATCCATCTATCTATCTACCTATCTATCTATCCTATCTATCTATCCATCTATTCTGTTCTATTCTATTCTATTCTATCTATTCTATCTATTCTATCTATTCTATCTATTCTATCTCTTTTATCTCTTCTATCTCTTCTATCTCTTCTATCTCTTCTATCTATTCTATCTATTCTATCGATTCTATCGATTCTATCTATTCTATCTATTCTATCTATTCTATCTATTCTATCTATTCCATCTATTCTATCTCTTCTATCTATTCTATCTATTCTATCTATTCTATCTATTCTATCTATTCTATCTATCCTATCTATCCTATCTATCCTATCTATCCTATCTATCCTATCTATCCTATCTATCCTATCTATCCTATCTATCCTATCCATCCTATCCATCCTATCCATCCTATCTATCCTATCTATCCTATCTATCCTATCTATCCTATCTATCCTATCTATCCTATCTATCCTATCTATCCTATCTATCCTATCTATCCTATCTATCATATCTATCCTATCTATCCTATCTATCCTATCTATCCTATCTATCCTATCTATCCATCTATCTATCCTATCTATCCTATCTATCCTATCTATCCTATCTATCTATCCTATCCTATCCTACGGTGGATCAACAGTATCCTATCCATCTATCTATTTCTTTCTATCTATCTATTCTATCTATTCTATCTATTCTATCTAATCTATCTATTCTATCTATTCTATCTAATCTATCTAATCTATCTAATCTATCTAATCTATCTAATCTGTATAATCTATCTAATCTATCTCATCTATCTCATCTATGCAATCTATGTAATCTATGTAATCTATGTAATCTATCTAATCTATCTAATCTATCTAATCTATCTAATCTATCTAATCTATCTAATCTATCTAATCTATCTATCTATCTATCTATCTCTCTCTCTCTCTTGCGCTCTCTCTCCCTCTCTCTCTCTGCCTCTCCCTCTCTGTCTGTGTCTTTCTCTTCGTCTCTCTATCTGTATCTGTATCTGTATCTGTCTCTGTCTCCTTTTCTCTCTCTATCTCTCTTTCTCTCTCTCTGTCTCTCGTTGTCTCTCTGTGTCTCTCTGTGTGTCTCTCTCTCTCTCTCTCTCTCTCTCAGACTCTCTCATCGTCAATTTTGCTCGCGTTGAAGCAAAAATCAATGTCAACATAATACTTGGGGCTTAGGAGTAAGGGACGAAAACTAGGTCGGCATGGAGGCGGGTATGAAAACGCAGAGGGCAACAGTTGACCTCAGTTTTAGCTAGTCCCAACCCCGCTGAACTGGTAATGAACTGGTGCCCATCGCTGGTCCAAGACATCCCTGAGCAAAACATCGGGCTATCTGAAGGGAAAACGTGCTCCTCTTGTGAGCATTACACATGAAAAGCTTTGACGGATGTTCATCGTCCCAAAGATAATACTGCAAAGTATTTAAAGAAACATGCAGTATTGACGATGCCAATGATGCAGAGGATGCGGATGCGGATTTATTTGCTGCGGGTGGGGCAGTTAACTGTGAAGTTTCGCGCGATTGGAGGTTCCAGCCCCCCAATACCTTGCTAAAGCGCGAGGGACTTCAGCTAGCAGAAGCTAGCTTTTGTGATTTGGCACGCCGTCCAACATTGCCTTTCGTCAAGCGTGCATTCATAGCATTCCAAAAGAACAGCGAAAACTGCAGCGTGCAAGCAAAAACATGGCAACATCGAGTGATCGGCAACGCTGCGTGAGCCTGGAAGCATCCAGTTCACGGCAGCACATGCACATACAGACGTACAGGCACAACCAGATCACAAGCGGAGCAGCATCTAACCAAGCTTCTCAAGTCGAAGTCTTGACAGAAACAACGTCAAACATCTTGGAACAATCTTTAATGTGGGAGCTAGGGATAGCCAGCTATGAGTGTGACAACAAGATGCACCTTCCTGACCAGGTCAAGAATGCAACCTTACAACAAATCTTCTATGGCCCGCTGCAACAACGCCTACTGTACACCTCAATGGCACCAATGAGCACCGTCTGGTGCCAGGGGGGGGTGAACCCCTAAAAAAATAAAATCAAATGCAGGGGCCTAAGGACAAAATGCCAATGAAATGAGAGGGCGTAAGATAAGATAGGAAAACCCAAGCAAAATACAATGGACACGTACAAAAAGAATATGACGTCAGGCCCCCTCCACCAACTATTGGACGTCAGGCCCCGGCATTTTATTTTTCGTTATTACTGATTTTTATATTTCCTTAGATCGTTGACAAACATTTGTACAGTATGATATGCATAATCATTACAGTTTCAGAACTTAATTCATCTCTAGCATTTGTGTTATACATTAGGATTTAAAGGATTATCGTTCTTACTCACGATCATTTCATCTTTATTTGCCACTGTGTTTCATATTTATTTTTCACCGCACGCACTCCTGCTGTTTCAGTTTCATATGCTCCATAGTGTCCAAGTGATTCCAAATCTCTGGAAGGTTTCACAAAATGATCAGACCGTTCACAGCTGTGCATCTTTGCTATCATGCTATCTCTGTCAGCTAACTTGATGGGTTGGGCACCTCAAAAAATAAAATGCAGCCACAAAATAAAATACTGGGGTCTGACCCCATTTTTTCAGATTTGTTTTTTTTTTTAAAGGGGCTCCTGCCCCCTCATTCTCTTTAGGTACACCATAGGAGGATACCAATGTATGCAGAGATGCGTACAACCATCACAAGGCACTACACAACAGCATGCACGCTCGGCAGAATGCAAAGGCCACAAGCATTAAGCATCAGCAATATGCTCTGCGTCTCGACTGTAGACTTGTGGCAGGTACGCAAGGCTCAGTATGAAGCACCCGAAGAAGCAGCGACTTGACTTTCCTTTCTGCATACGCGATATGCAGGAGCACATTTTGTCAGTGCAAGAACCAGGCTGACAAGGCAAGCGATTAGTTAAGGATGTTTCAGGTACAACGGTACAACTGGCTTAATCATCACATTCAGAGGCATTCGGCTCAACACACACGCAGGCAACACGAAGGGTTCTAATTCCTTCCAGTTGAGGTGACGCCACTAGAATCCACAGAACAAACGAGAAGGCTGATGTCCAAGGATTGATTCCGAACGTAACATTAGTCTAGCTTTCTCTTGGGTTACTTCTCCTTGAAGTTGCCTCTTGGGAAATTTGGGAAGAGGCGTATCCCCTTTAGGTCTACATCTCTCTTGATATTGAGCTACCGCTGTCAGATCTCTCGGCTACAGTAGCAGCTGGTGCGGAATTCACCTAGGGCTGGAAGGAAATCACATCTAATCACTGCGAAACCCTCACGACAATTTTGAACTTCACAATCCGTTTGCCTATTTGTGACAGTGTTTGCGGAAACTCCTGGTTTCACTAAAGGAAGCCTCCATTTTCAAATCGCTTGCTGTAACAAAGTGAACCAAAGGACAAACTGGTTTGTGGCATGGACAGAACCAAACTGTGCAAACAACTCTTGATGTTTTTCAGCCCAGGGAATGACAGAGTTTTAGGACAAGAATAGATATAATAGAATGGGGCAAATCGCACAAGACCAACAACAATGATGAGAGGGAAAACTGCAGGAAAAGCCAACCGCCTGGAGCCAGTGTGCAGGCGACCGTGCACAATCAAATGACAGAAACGAAGACCAAAAACACAAAGTCATAAACACGCACTCCCCCATCCTATGCCAACTACAGGCATGTCCTTATTATTGTATATAGCAGAGCTATTTAAAACTATTGAAACCCGAGCACGGTGTTCAAGTCGCATGCCAAAGTCAATTCAATTCGTCTCCACCCCGTGAAATTTGTTCGATTGACAAGCCTGGGATCGTCATGGACTTACGGCAGGTCTGTGAGGCCAATACAAAATAACACAAAGAGCAAACAACGATAGTGACAGGCTGTCAGGATCTGTCAGGCCATCCAGGGAAGTGAGCACAGCCATGTCGAAAATGCCAGCTCTTGCTTTATGGCCGCGCCCTTATGGTCCCCTGTGCTTGAAGGTGTTCCGAGGAGGCAGTCTGACAAGTTTAACGGGTCTTCTCATACTGGGTCATAAACTGACATGAACATTTTCTAGGATACGAAATCGCAGTCAGAATGGAATAACGAAACACGCTGGTACCACAACTGTTGCCACAGCATAGTCTTTGACAAGCATCGGTAGCTGCTGTTCTTCTTCAAGATGCTTTTCGTAGGGACCTCTCGCGTCACCACGGTGCCAGCAAGCACTCCAGTTATCTTCAACAACCAAATCTGTGTGGGGCGCAGTGCTTTGCAAATACAATGTAAAATCGCTGCGCATGACTGAACTTAAGCCCCATTTGGGCAAGATTCGAGACATTTTAGAAGATAGAAGAAGCAGAACGATCGCTCCGCAGGTGGTGCTCTTCAAGTTGCCACTTGCTTGCTGTATTGTGCATGCCTGTCTTGGTAAATCTTGGTAAACCCTTTTTGTAAACCACCCTTTCGGTTCTCTATTTCTTCATTTTTTCTCACTGATTTCTTCATGTTTCTTTTGCTGCCCAGGTCTTCTCGGGTGTCCTTCTCCTCACTCAACACAGTGTCGACGCTCACGAAGGTATTGACACGGGCGGGTGCCAATTCGACGTGCTGTCCGCTGCCATTTTGGTCGACATCCTCATGGAATGACGCACGTCTCTGGATGGGATAGACCTTGGGCAAAGCCCTGTCTCTGCCAGCAGCCTGCATTGCGCCGGAGCCAGAGGGCTGGGCAAGGCTTCACATGCTTCACAAGGGCTTGATGCCGGTTACTTAGTGTATCTTAATCTTAGTCATGCACCTCCTTTAAACATGTGGGTTTCTCTTCTCTCTGCCCCTCTGCTGCACGAGGAAAACTTCTGTTGTCACAGAACCACTGTTCAACGTATCGACACATTCAATCCAAACTCAAAGCCTGTGGTTTTGGTTCTGTCCCCCCTCGGACCCTTGTTGACCCCTCTAGACCTACCGCATGCGGTTCCATTCTTGAACGCCCGACTCATCAAGAAACCTTTGGTTATTCCTGGCTGCAAGATTCAAAACCGATTTGCATGCCAAGCCAAGCAGCAACAGGCTTCTGCAACTTGGTAGAGGAAAGGGCGAACGACCTCAGGAAAGTGTCTGCGGCAAAAGGAAGAATTAACACAGAATGCGACAAAGAGTGCGCAAAGCTGTCACAGAACTTGCGTAAAGAGGACTGGTTGCACAATGAATGCCAAACTCGGCTGATCGTTGACTGCAACTTGGCACCTTGATGCTGTGCTCGCGTGTGCTGCCAAGTGACCAGAATTGAACTGTTTGCGAGCCCTCCGATTTGATGCCCGCGGATGTGGACAGGGATGTGGACGGGGAAGCTGGAGAAAGCAAAGACCGTGATAATTCCAAGCGAGGCCGAGCTTCCACCGTTTCACGCAAACGCAGGTTTTCCAGTTCCTGACAAAAGGTCGATCCCTTGTTGGTCTGTCGGTTGGTCTGTCTGTCTGTCTGTCGGTCGGTCTATCTGTCTGTCTCTCTGTCTCTCTCTCTATCTCTCTCTCTCTCTCTTTTTCTTTGTCTGTCTAGCTCTTCGCGACAAATTGACTTTGATATGCTGGCAAGGGGCCAGAGTCCGCAGCTTGGCGTTCATGCCCTCCAACTCCTCAGAGTATACATAAATCTCTAAGTATCTCTAAATAAATTTGTGAGCGTGAGAAAGTTGAATAAGGTTTCAACACGCAAAGGTGGGCAAGTCTTGCCCGTTGCGGCTTGGTAGTGTTTTGCTGACCTCTTTGGAGAATTTTCCGCGAACTTGTCAGAAACTTTGGATTTTCTCAAACTTTGTTCTCCTTCTGCAAGTCGCACAGAAGGCCCTGCCATCGCGAAGCTGAACCATCCATTTCGGATGTCAGCGGCTAGGCAAAAAATGCAAAACGAGAATAAAGCAAAGGCTGAGCCAGGAGGCAAGGCGGCAAATGCATGATTCATGCAGTCATGAAATGTCATGAGCCATGAACTTTGGGCAAAATGACGTGACGCCTTACACTTTCTTCCCCTTGAGTGATCCCCTCGCTCAGAGAGTGCGTGATGTGATATGTATGCAATGCAAAGCAATGCAATGCAATGTAATGGAAAGCAGTGCAGTACAGCGCAGTGGAACGGAATGAAATGTAATGTAACGTACCATAATGTACAGTAGTGTACGTATGCATCTTTCTATGATATGCTCATGTTAATGTTAATGTTGATGTTAATGTTAATGTTACTGCAGTGTAATGCAATGGAATGTAATATACGTATGTATGGATGTCTGCCTACTTGCACGTATATGTGCAATTTTATCTATGCACACTGACAGAATATGACAAAAAACTGCAACATATACTGACATATTGACCAGCAATCACAAGCATAAAAGTTGACATGCATGCCGGCGTATTGATTGACAAATATTGTGACAAGCATATTCACTGATGTACGCCCCTCGCACTGACTGACCGATGCATAGACATGCGCTGACATACTGACAAGCACAAGTGTGCACATATGTGCCCAAATGTATACGGGCACGAGTCTGAAATTTTGACTTGCACCCTACCAACATAAGAACTGATTTTGGTACTAACCACAATGACAGAAACTGGCACTTCTCTCATGTGTGCGTGTGTGTGTGTGCGCCATCTGAATAGATGTAAAGCTTCTATTTACTGCAGGGACACCTAACTCCCAATTCTGTGTACATATATCATATATATATACACATACGTATACATATATGATCATATATGTAGTCCCGCCCCTGGACGCATTTAAGACTCAGCTGGAGGGGGACATATATTTCATCGCTGTTGGTTCATACTGTCAATTTCTCCTGTGATTTCACTAACCTATATATATAATATAGTATAATATAATATAATATAATGTAAAATAATATGATATGATATGATAAGACATGACATGATATGATATGAAATGAAATGATATAATATAATATAATATAATACAATATAATATATTATAATATAATAAAATAATATAAATATATATATATATATATATTCATCATGTCATCTTGATGCTTGTTTTTTTGCTCGTATGATGCATTCAAACTTCACAATTCAATAAGACAGTTCTGAGCAAGTGTGTGTGTGTTCTGACATTTTCTGACATTTCGCCTGTTACTACTACAGTAATAGCATCGATGGCAAATGCCCAGCTTCAGCTACTGACGTGACATATGTCAAACCCAGAAGGATTTGACCTGTACTGACATGCATACTGACATCTGGACTGAAACGTTTGATGAAGTTGGAACTCACAAATGTCCAACATCTGTTTGTGTACTACCACGTGCTTCTGAAGATTTCTGACGTATGTATACGTGATATACATTGGAAAAACTTAAATCAATGCCCTGAGCTTTAGTTTGATATATGCCTGAGAGATCCTGAGAGATATTGATCAAACTGACACACGTTTGAGACCATTTGTCCTACTGACAGGCACTGTATCCTTGGGTTGGCATGCACATTGGCACATTTGCTGACGTTTACATGAATATAAAATAACATAATATAATCACATAATGTAATATCATATGTTAAAATACAATATAATACAATATAATATTATTATCGAAGGAAGTTTAGAAGTCAAACTTCCGACAATATGGACAGATGAAAAGCAGAGCAGGGAAGAGGCAGAGAGAAGAGAAAGATTAGAAGAGAGAAGATCAGAGAAGAGAAAGATCAGAAGAGAGAAGATCAAAGAAGAGAAAGAGTCAGAAGAAAGAAGATGCAGATGCGCGAAAAGGTAGGAAAGTCGCGAAACACTGTGTTTTTCCAATGATTTGTGGCTCCGGAGGGTCGGAAAGTAGGCTCGCTAAAGCGGCGGGTGCGGAGCCAGCTGGCCAGATGAGAGATGAAAAATTGCACGCCGTTGTGGCGCGAAGCACATTTCGAAGTCAAAAGTGTTAAAAACTGGCGGCCTCGGACCACTTTTGGAAGTTGAGATGTCGAAAAAGTGCACGCCGTTGTGGCGCGAAGCACATTTCGAAGTCAAAATGTTAAAAACACCAGGGTCTCGGACCACTTTTGGAGGTTCAGATGTCGAAAAAATGCACGCCGTTGTGGCGCGAAGCACATTTCGAAGTCAAAATGTTAAAAACACCAGGGGTTCGGACCACTTTTGGAGGTTCAGATGTCGCTTCGCTTCGCTTCACTACACTACATTACACTACACTACACTCCACAACACTACACTACATTACACTACACTACATTACACTACACTACACTCCACTACGCTACATTACACTACACTACCTTCCACTACACTTCACTACATTGCATTGCAATACACTCCGCTACACTACAACTACAACTACACAACTACACTCCACTACACTAAATTACGCTACACTACACTACATTACACTACACTACACTCCACTACACTACACTACATTACACTACACTACACTACATTACACTACACTACACTCCACTACACTACATTACACTACACTACCTTCCACTACACTTCACTACACTACACTCCACTACACTACAACTACAACTACAACTACACAACTACACTCCACTACACTCCACTACACTAAATTACACTACACTACACTACATTGCGCTACACTACACTACATTCCACTACACTCCACTACACTACACTACATTACACTACATTACACTGAATGACACTGCACCACCGATAGACAGGTAGACAGATAGACAGATAGATAGATAGACAGATAGACAGGCAGACAGCTAGACAGATAGACAGATGAAAGAGAGAGGGAGAGAGAGAGAGAGAGATAGATAGATAGATAGACAGATAGATGGATAGATAGATAGGTAATTAGATGAGAGAGAGAGAGAGATAGATAGATCGATAGATAGATAGATAGATAGAAGATAGATAGGTAGGTAGGTAGGTAGGTAGATAGTCAGAGAAAGAGAGAGAAAGAGAGGAGACCTCAAGCACCTTTTGGTCCATCAGTGGCTTCGCTCTGCCATCCCTGATTCACAACAACCAATCTCTCCTATAGGTTTCCTATTTTTGAAACTTCCGCCACCGCCTTGTGCGGTACTACTGCTACAATATAATATAATAATGCAAAAATATAGTGTATATATATACATATATCATATATCTATATCTATTGTAATATACTATACATTGGCAATTGTGCTGAGCTTTTGACGGGCATGTGCGCTTGTGTGCTAGCAAATGCACTGGCATATGTACTCTCACATAAATACTGACCCACCGGTCTGCTCACATGTCTCTTGCAGCATCTATATCATTATCTCCAACAGCTCACGCGCCCGCGATGGCGCTAAAGCAGAAAAGAGCAGGAAAGAGCACCGAAGAGCAACAAATTGGTAAGAACTCTTTGGGGAAGCGCTCAAGCGGCTGAAGCGGCATATAAATGCATACAATCTGTTGGAGTGTCTTAGAGTCTGTTGGGACATGGTGTGACACTTATCTAAGATATGGTAAGATGCATCAAGAAGTCACATGGTCGGTGAAGAAAAAATGACACTTTGCTGGAGAACAAGTTTTTCATTCGACGTTTAGTAGACTCAGCAGCTTTCCTGTAAGCTCACCTTGACATCAGCTTCAGACAAATGCAGACCCCCGTTTTGACATTGCTCGCCAGAAAAATCTCAATGCTCAGCGACCAGGATCCGGGCCAGCAACCTGGCCACAGAAGTGAAAAAGGTGATATGGTGGGAGTAGTACCGATTAGCAGGACCTGTTCCAAAACACCTGAACTCCCCACAGATATCCCCCCAAAAAATCGGGGTTTTGCTGCTTTCTGCCTAGGATCTTCCGAAGGGAAACTGAACAACTTGCGGACGGATTCCAATTGGCAAAGCACGTCCGATGAAACGAACTGGTCCCCGCCTGGAAACTTTGCAGGTCTGTCCGGCGATGGTCACCTGGAGATGAGACACGAGGTGTAAAGCCAACCAGCCAACCAGCTACAAAAATCATGAAAAATCATCAAAAATAATCAAAATTCCGCAAACTTTGGAAATGGGCAACATGCGTTGGATTGCGTTGGTCATCTTTTGCTGCCAAGCAACCTGCTCCAAGCTCTCATTGCTGTTGGGGCCCTGCGGAAATCTTCAACAACTGGGAACCACGTGGTATGGCCCATCCCAGTTGTGGTCAATGCTGCGCATACAAGCCCCCAACTCTCAAGAAGTCACAGCCCTATCATGCCGAGTACTCCCAACCTCCATGTTGAGGGGCTGCGGAAGTGTTAGCTTCAGCCTTCCAAGGGCATGCGGCATGAGGACCAGCTTTGGGATCCTTGAGCCTTGAGCTCCGGGCGCCATCTCCAAATACGTCGCACCGCGGCACACACCAGTCTTGATGAAGCCCTGAACCTGGCCGACGTTGCATGGCATGGCATCGCATGAAGAAACGAGTTGTCGACTCATGGCGGGATGGCAATGCTGGAAGGTATGAAGCGGGGGACGCTGGGGTCAACATGAAGGATGTTGGAAACCTCAGAGCACTGTGTCGCTGCCAAATCTGCGTTGAGCTCTCAAAAACGACTAGAACTGACTAGAACCAAGCAGAAATATGCAGACTTTCGTTTAAGCAAACACAGATTGCCCAATATGCCACTGGGAAATCATTGCCAAATGGTATCGCTCGATAAGCAACTTGAAGTCCACCACCTGCAAGGCTTTTGACATCTACCTGACAAAGGGCTGAAATGTATTGAGCACGATTGAAACAGGATGAAATCGTAATGCAAGCCTTTTGTTGTGAAGTCCTTCAAGGCAAACGGAGAATTCGACAGGGTAGACTTGCGGAGGTGAGGGAAAGCGACGGAAAGCTGCGAGAAAGCGATGCGCACCATGGAAAATTTGTGAGGAGCATCCTTGAACGTCTTGTCCCGCTTGATCTCTTGGACCTTAGCCAAAATTTCGAAACTAGACGGTGTCTCTGACGGTGCGCCAAGTACTTGATGGACAATGAAGACAATGAAGGACACATCATGACACATCGTGACACTGACACATGGATTTGTTATCCATTCATATCCATTCGCACGTCATGTGGATTTGATCTGAATCTCGCATTCGTTGCTCGGTGAACAGAGCTTTTGACCCAATATATTGGCCAGCGCCTTCTCAGGAGTTCAACCAGTATACGCGCTATACATACAGCTACAAGTGTGAGCAGTTGTCGACGTGTCTTCGCCCGAAAGGGGCCAAAACCATTCTGATGGGGGCCTGCTTCATCCCGCTTCTTGCTGTTTACACTTCTTTTGGTACATGCATAATCTACAGTATCATATGGATATGTGCGGTACCTTGATTCGAAGTGCGCAATCTGGCATAATCTGGCAACCGAAGCTTGCGCGGAGTCTCCTTTAGCTGCGAAAGCCAAACAAATGCGTCCAAAAAGAGACTCTGCGCAAGCTTTCGAAGTAATGAGAACGCAGCTATGATTGATAGAGAAATGGACAACTAATTACGTTTGACAAGTTCTCCGGCGCCAACCTAGAGAACAGTCCGGCCCCGCACTAGAGCAAGCGCAGCCTTTCAGATTTGCATGATTCTGGTTGGGGCCGCCACAAAACTATCACTCAAAGCAAACCTAACATCCAAGTATTTTGGGATGGAGACAATTATAATCGGTTGGTTTCAGGCATCCAATCACGTGGCGAGAAACTGTTGCCTGCGTTTACAATTTGCATCTGTTTGTTACATTCGCATTTGCATGCGCATGTCCTCACAACTTTTGCGATCTAACCACTGCAAACAGTGAATCCGATGGTGTTTGCAAAAAACCCTCAGCTCACAACTTGCAGCGCGTAGACGCTTGCTAGGGTTGCGGGAGCTGGTACCTGTGAACTTTAAGTCCTTGAAGGGGGAACAAAAGGACACCACCACCAGAAGTGTTCGCCTTAAGGGTCCCTTGGGTCCTTTAGAAGTGACCTTTGCAAAAACATCATGCGGACGGACATGCTGCTTTTTCCCTCGGTTCTAGCCCAAACAGCTAAGATAGACTTTGGCGCAGGCCATGTTACCTTTCGGCATGCCTTCTTCCTGCCACCTAAATTTCATCCTCTCAGGCATCTCCTTTGGAGTGCCATCATGGGTGCCGAGCGGCAAAAAAATCTGCAGTTGAAGGTATCTGCTTCACAACCAAACCTTCAGATCCTTCAAGGCGGCCTCCATATCCACATCGACAAGGGACATGAGATGAAGTGATATGATGCGGACAATGAAGCCTATCGAGCTGTCAGCAGGCGTCATGCAACGGCACAAGCGGCACAAACGTTCTCTCTCCCCGTGCGTGGAGCTCATTTTCCAGGCACATTCTTCATGTCCGTGGCATCCTTTGGCCATTCACTTCACACAACCGGAGGGAGGCTCAACCTGACTACTGCTTGTTGCATTTAAATCATTTAGCATCGACTGCAGCACTGCAACTGACTGCAACACAGCATTACCGTGCTGCCTGCGACATGTTGACTGCCTCAACTGGGCAGTGAATGGACTGGATGTCCGGGGCCTGGATTGCCATGCTGAACGCGTTGGACATTTGCGATCCAGAACAAAACACATAAAACATATCATATGTGTACATATTTCATCATATTCATATATTCAAATTCATCTATCCGTCTATCCACCTATCCATCCATCCATCCATCCATCCATCCATCTCTGCAACTAAAAAATCTATATCC